AACACAAGGTAAGGCTCACGGTCAAGGCAGCAGGAAGGAGATCACCACCATTTAAGCTCATGGATAGGGACGGCAAAAGGAAGGTCGCCACAGCATTATTATTATGCCCTTTTGATACACATAAGAGAGTGAAAGGACAAGCTACCATAAACCATCCAGATCGAAGCCATTTTCATCAAGTAAGACATAGTAATGAATTGATCAGCTTATTTCAAACATCCCCTTATAGAAGTAGATATGAAATCATGAATTTTGGGATGACAAACTTGATTACCAATAAAAATCTCAGGAAAAATATTATATGAGGAGCTTCCAACCAAACCGAGTCCAATAGGGGGCAGACAAGGAACCGCAACAGGCACACCCGAGCCTAGCAAGAAGGGCAAGACAGGGAACCACAATAGGCACACCTGAGCCCAGCAAGGTGGGACAAGAAAAGAAAAGGAATAAAACATAGTTTCAGTCCAACTAAACCCAGTAAAAGAGAGAGTCAACAGATAAGCTTTGAACCAAACCAATTCCTTGTCTCAAATCCAACTAAACCCAATATAAAGGCTAAAGAAAAGAATGCAGTTTAAGCCAAAACCGCACCCACAAAATGGGAAAACAGATCAGCATTTCTAGTATGAGTTCAACTCAAAAGAGTTAAAACTGAAACCAGCACAGACAAAGAAGAAGCAGCTTCAACATGCAAAAGAAATATGCATTGGCTAATAAATTACAAGCCTTAAACAAGAAGAAGCCCATATTTGACCCCATGAAGTATGTCATACATCAAAACAATAATAATAGTACCAACTAGTTGGAATTTAAAGCCCATCATTCTAACTAACATTTCACCATAGTAGATTAAAAACAAAATTACACTATTGCACTTCGAGAATGCTTAGTTTAGAAAAAAGAAGCTTCATGAAATAAAAATTTCTAAAAATTTAAATAAATAAATAAATAAATTTCTGCAAGTTCAATATATAACCCCACTCATGCAGAGTTAGGGCCAATTTCATCACTTTTCAGCAAAACAAAATTTCTGATCCCCAAATAACAAATGAAAAACATTTTTTGGTTTCATATGCAACTAGAAAGGCACCAGGTAGAGATTGCACTTCCGGGCTTGTAAACTAACAATATAGATGTTTGAAAGAGTTCCATTCCTAAAAAAATAATGGGAAATGTGAATAAGGGGGTTTCCACCTTGAGAATAAATACAATGTCCTAACTTAAGAAAATCAATTGAAGCCGCTTGGGAATAGTTTACTGAGCAGGCAGGCAAAAATGTCCCATATCAATTCCAGAGGAATTTTCTTTGAAATTCTATTTTTTCTGTTTGACATCAGATGATGAAGTGACAGGGTTCTCTTAAATGAATAAAAGCTTAGAAAAAATATTAAGTGGATATGATTGCCCAGCAATTAGTCCAAAAATTACAAAAAAACACATAGGGTCTAAACCATAATATAATCATCATAGTTTTAACCCCGTTGCTTGCAAAAATACAAAAAGTGAAACTATGCCTCAAATAAAAAAAAAGGGATCCATCATCAGCAGCCACCATTGCATTTTACAACTATTTGGGACTTCATTGATCTTTATTCATCCTCTAGTTAGTGATTATGCGTTAATTTATTTTGCAATTTGTTTTGCACAGCATTTATCTAAGTTATCTTTAGTTTACCTTCTTCTCAATATTTTAACAGTATTAGCCCATCTTATACATTTTGTGTCCTTATTTGTACATGACCAAGCCATGTAACTCTATTTTTACTATTTTATTTTCAAAAAATGATACTCGCACAAACTTTCTAATACAGCCATTTTTTTAATTTATATTTGCTAATTTTACCACACATTTAATATTACATTCTCAATTTTTTTTTTACACTCAACCAACCTATCAATGACCTCTTTATTGCCAAATTATAGAACATTGCAAACTTAATTATATTTTTAAAAGATTTACCATATAGTCTCCAAGATATTATCTTTATCATATAATATTAGTGAGACAATTCTTTATTTTAACCACCTAGCCTTAGTATTAGACGTTACCTCATATCATTGATATGCACAAATGCATTTATATTATTAAATCCAAAATATTTAAAATATTACTTCTACCTAATTTTATCTTTTAGTATTATTGACTAATAATCAGTCATATCACAACAGCTAAAATTACACATGAAAACTAAATTTATTCTACAAATTAAAAACCATTTATCATCAAAATATATTATCCATTGTTCTAACCTTATAATTACTATAACCGTGTCTCACCAATTTGAAGTACCTTATCTAATAAAATCATACAATAAGAAATTTTACTATGAATATCATTTATAATAATCCCGTAAAAAATAAAAAACATACATACTTAATGTTGACCTAGGGGGAGCGGGAACGTGTAGGAGATTGCATGAAGTTTGGTGACCTGGTGCTGGAATGAAGGTGGGATGGCTGGACAGCCATGGTGTGTAACAGGAAAGCGACAGCAGGGTGCTGGAGTGGAGGCCGGATGGCTTGACAACTATAATATGCTGCAGGAAAGGGCGTGCCGTGATGGAGGCCGGAGGGCTGAACAACAATCATATGCTGCAGGAAGGGGCAGCAGGGTGCTGGAATGCCGGTTGGATGGCTGACAAACAAGGATATGCTGCAGGAATGGGACGACAAGGTACAGGGTTGCAGGTTGGAGAGGCTGGCGGCTAAGGGAAGTGGAGGAGAAAGGTGCAGGGAATGATGGGGGAACATACAACATCATCTTGAAGCAGGATACAAACCGAAGCACCATCCATCGTCGGATACAGCCCTAGCAAGGAAAGGAGAAGACTCCAAGGGAAATTCTGAAATAACAAGAAGCAAAAACTAGCCCTAACAAGCAAAACAACGCATATATAATAGCTAATAGATACAATAGGAAGGGAAGGTTTCCCCCTTTGAGCGGCAACCATAAAGAAAGGAGGAAGAAGTGGTAACAGGGAAATAGGGGAGGTGGGAAAAGGAGAGTAGAGGAAGGAGGAAGTGTGAGCGGCAAATCTCACGTGTAGACAGGTCACCAAACTTCATGCATTCTCCTACACGTTCCCATTCCGTCAGCCCACCTACCAACCTCCAAATCACCCTCTCTACCCAAAAAAAAATATCGCTGTCGCCCCTTTCCTGCAACATGTCCTTATTGTCCAGCCATACAACCTGCATTCCAGCACCCTGCTGCCCCTACCTGCAGTATATTATTGTTGTCCAGCCCTCCAGCCTCCATCACAGCACCCTGCTGGCCCTTTCCTGCAACATATTATAGTTTTCAAGCCATTCGGCCTCCACCCCAGCAGCCTGCCGCCCCTTTCCCACCTTCACCCCAGCACAAGGTCACCAAACTTCATGCATTCTACACATTCCCACTCTGCCAGCCCACCTACTGACCTCCAAATCACCCTCTCTACCCACTCCACAGCCTCCGGCCCTGACTCGCTCCCTTACCACTTCATTGACGCCATGACCGCCCTCATATCTTCTCTTCCTGTCCTAATCAGCGAGTCAAGTCGTTGTATTTTCCTTTCCAATTTGAGCCGAGTTGTAACAATATCAATAAAAGTTTGCTTTTCATTTCAGCTAATTTTCCTAACTAGATCCGGTATCAGGAAAATTGCTAAAATATCACCTATAACTCTCCAAATCATATTTAGAGCTAAATCATTACCTTCATACATATCATTCATATCTAACTCCATTACACATTTTTGGATGGATAAATCAATAATTCATCAATTTATTTTGTTCATTATGCCCTTACAGGAGGATTTTTTTACTTAATGCTCTCATTTTACAACTTTTTGAAGTAGCTTCTTCATCTTTACACAATATCGTTATTTATTAACTATGATCTTAGGATCATAACTTCTGATGCATCAAGATTTATCAAAGTCTCCATTATTTTAACTATTTTCTCTCTTTCCATTTCCTTAGCATCTTGCCTTTTAAATAAAACATAAACTAATAACTTTCGCCAAGTTGAAATGCAAGCTCGCTACCCTTTTTGTAAGATTATAATTCCTTAAAATCATTACAAATATCAATACTAATTAATTTTTTTATCACTCACTAAACTTGAATTTCATTTCTTTATATTTTTTTTGTATTTATTCACTCAACAACCAAATCTCCTTAATTATCAGCATGTATTTCTACGTGACCCTAAAAATTACAGAAGAAACCTTTTAATGAAATTACTGATCTTAGCCCACAATCAAGTAAAACAAAATACAAAATTTTAATTTGCTTCTATAAAATATATCTTGAATATTAATATTTCTCAAATTACAAGTTTCATCATAATATCCAAGGGAAATTATTCATTTTAATAGCTATATTTATAGCCTTAAGAGATACATCCATAATTGATACTCGATATTTTGTGCATCAAACTCTGTACAGTAGAATTTTTGCAAAAGAGTTTTTATTTCCTTCTAAATAAAAAGAAATTATTTGATTAAGTTGCTCCACTTTTAAAATTAACGAAAGGATTGTTTAGTTCAGTGTACTTAAAATGAAAATATTTTGAACAATCCTCTAATCCAACTTGATGATTATAACGACTAGCCATATTTATAAGGTTCATACCAATGATTAACTTAATATGATCCCCGTATCAATAAACCTTTTTACTAGATAATTTATATTTAAACTCTACATTTAATACTATCTAGAACCTTTTCTAATACAACTTCCTAAAGTACAATGACTTGTACCTTTCTATTGTCTAAAAATTTTTTTCACTTCTCATCTTACTTCTTTCAATCAAAAATATTGATCATTCTTCAATTCATCCTGACCAATTATTCTATTTTCTCCTCATTCAAAACAATAGGAGACATAGCTTCCAACATACTATTTTCCATTGCATAGAACATAGAATATTCATGAGATCTATTTCAACAAAAGTAGATTTAAATCATTAAAACACATAAGTGAGCTTAAACACTTCACTTATTCATATGTATTACTTGCTATCTGAAGTTCTTCAACAGAAGTAGGTGTCTGCTGAAATGTTGGTGGTAGGCTTGAATATCTTGTCAAGAGAACCTGCAAAAAAAGAACAATTTTACCATTACGATTTTAATACACTTTAAAAACACCTAGGAAATGCATAACACTAGCAGCTTCCTAAAGCATTAATTGAATAGATCGATGCCTTTTGCCAAGTGAAAAGCTAAACGTGTATGATCAATCTATATGAGGAAACCACATAACTAAGATAAAGGCATTTGTCCATTTTCAAACAATACCATAAGGTTATATAAGCATAACTTCTTAGTGTTTATTTTGCTATGACATTTGCATTATGTACTTATTTTATATTTTATACTGTATTATGATTATTCTATCATTAAGTTTGATAGCGCCTGGCTAGCACTATCCGCTTGCAACTTCTTAGAAATTTGATGGTAGTTTGTTAATACATTTTTCATAGCTTATTGCTTATTAATTCCACCATCTATAAGTACGGAAAATTACGAGTCATGTAAGACAATTCATGACATGAATAAAATTCTCATAATTGGAGAGGTGACTGAAGATTTGTCTTCATCTATTACAATATTTCAATTAGTGATTAGCTGTGAGACTTGAAACCTTTTGGGATAGATAATCTCATTCGTTAAACGTAAGGTTTTCTTATATTGTTATGTCACGACCCGGCCCGGGGCTTGAAATTAACCAAGACAGGAATGAACGGGCGTACGGTCGGACGGTGTGAATTAAATTTTCTATCTTAATCTACAATTTAGCATATGAAAAAGCCACTACAAATTAAATTAAAGTGTTGCAATTAAAATTAACTTGTTATTGATTGTCCTCGTCGGCTATAAACATTTTCTCATCTATCGCCCATCTTTTAATAATTTAATTAAACCTGAAAAGTTTTAAAATAACAGTGAGCTAAACGAGTCAGTGAATGCTCATACTCTTAAACTACAACAATACAAGACAAAAGAACAATATGCATACCGGTTAAGTTTCTTTATAAATCAGTATAAATATTTAACATGTTATTCAAAAGAGTCTATATCAATATCATTTCATATCTATACAATCGTTATAGGAGACATCGTCTAAAAATTGTATCACTTACGATACTTCCATATCAATATCATTTTTCATTTACGTGCACGACTTCATTAGTATTTCCTCATTAGTATCATTAAGGATTGTTTCATCATAACAAAGCATGCACATGCAAACATAGTATAAATCATTTCGTTACATTCTAAATATTATCCAATATTTTTATTTTATAGCATGCATGTGTGGTATAAAAGTATAACTATGCAAATAATTCACATTTATTTTTAGAAGAACAAATTGAATAATAAGCCAGAATAATCAAATTCTAGTTGTAGTAACAAGATAGCTTAATTAATATGAGTGATTTAGAAGAAATACAACATTATTACCTTAATATAGAAGTAAAGATACTCACATTGATAACGTTTAATTTGATAAAATTTTACCCCGATGTCAACTCTCCTAAAGTGGAAACCTAACATAAAGATGATATACAACTTAATTTATTTATTATTTTAAAGAAAGTATCAACTTTTTCTTATTATTTAAGTATTAAATTTCCATTATTTTATTATCCTTATTTTTCTATTCAATAAATATATTATTATTATTATTATTATTATTATTATTATTATTATTATTATTATTAAATTACTTTAATAAAACTTTCGCTTACCTCTCAAACCGCACGGGGGATCTCCCCTGAGATCGCCCTCCCTTTCTTCTTCACGCACGACGGTCCTTCCTCAACTTGTTTAGCTCAATTCTTCTCCGCGAAGCTCGACAAAGATGTGAGAACGTCTCAACGCAACACCCTCTTCCTCTCATCTGCTTGTCACCGAAACAACCTCCTCCTCCGCTTGACAAAGACGTTGCTTCTGCCCTAATTCTCACTTTGCCCTCGCCGCTTGGTTCCAAGCCGATCTGCGTCTTAAATAGGTGAATTTGCCTCTACAACTTCCTGACTTCTTCTCCCTTCCTCGTTCGGTTTCACGACTCCTCAATTGCTCTTCTTCTGTTTCATGTTCTTCTCGCTTCTCCCCCATTCCGTTCATTTGGCTCGACTCCTCCCATTCTCTTCTATGATTCTTCATTTCCCCTCCCCTATGTACAGAACCGTTACATGTTAATTGTCAAACAATTTTCATATTTTCCTGCTTTACCATACTTCATGGTTCCTTTATGGTTAAGTTGCATCATCTAAAACAATCTTGATAAAAAACATTAATGAATTTCCTACAAGACAATGATCAAAAAATTATAAAGAATAGCTAAGTGGCACCCCAAAAGGATTGATTTCAAGCCTTTGTTTCTTATGACGAAATGAATAGATTTGATAGTATCATTATTACAATCATCTTCATCATTAATTTATTTTGTCAAATTAATTGCAACTTCTTTTAAGTGTTTTATGACATTATAGGTTCTATCAATGTTATCTTTGATCTATCATATTTTTTCTTTCCAGCCTTCCAAGTTTAATTTTGTATAATTATTTATTGATAATCATAACCATCTTTGGGTGATAATCTTTTTATCATGTTTTGAGCTCTTAAACAACTTTTGGGTCATGAGCGCAAAACAAGAAGGCACAACTGAAATTCATTTGATTTAAAATGAAATTTATCTGCATAATAATTGTAAGACACTATTTTGTATAACACAATGACAATACAATTCATTACTTGATGCATGGCAACTTGTGTTTGTATAAAAAGTTTAAAAACTGAAATTCAACTACTTTAAACAATAAATTGACACTGAAATTCATTATTTCTTGCATGAAAAATAAATTGTCTTTATTTCAAATCAAAAAACTTTTACTTGTGCCTATATTTCTTGTGCTTCTTACAAAAAATAAAGCTAGTGCCATTGTTGCAATTTTCTTGCCGTGGCGATATATGACAAAACTACTTGAAGTTTATACATCATTACAATGTTCTAAGGAATGTTGTCCTCAACTTTTATCTAATATAATTATTGTTGACAGCATCATAGCTAATTTTATCACAAATTCATCTTATTATTCCCATTTGTATATATTAAAAAAAACATGGCTATTATTAACTTTCTATTGCTCAAATCCATAATACATAATTGATCGAGCTAACATGGCTATTACTTAATAACAAATAGACATACTAAGTTCTCATGATATTCTAATAGCAAATAAATGATTCTTAAAGTGTCCCTCCACTTTAAGTAATTAGATTGAATTTTAAAAACGATGCCACTATTTATATTCCATTCATTTGGACAACATATCCGAAAACTTGAACATAGCACATTGAAACCCTCCACTTTAAGTAATTAGATTGAATTTTAAAAATGATGCCACTATTTATATTCCATTCATTTGGGCAACATATCCGAAAACTTGAACATAATACATTGAAGTGCCGCTTGGCTTCCAAGTAATACCGATTAATTATTACCATGTTCATGTCCACTAACACTACATATCAAATAATCATTATTTTATGTCCACTAAAACTACATATCATGTTATCATTATTTATCCAATTAATATTAAGCCACTTATTTTCTTCAAACTTATTTGATTGTCCAGACTTTCCACTTCAAAAGAAGTCACTAAAACTTAAACCAAGGTATCTCAATTTAAATGTATCTTATACAAAATCCATATAAAAGATATTAACTTAAGACAAATTCTTCATGCAATCCTACTTTATTGGAAACTCTTTGATCACTCCACAATTACCAATGCTTGTAAACCCCAACCATTTGTTGAGTGGTTGATACGCTTTAGCACCAAAATCAGCGAACAAACGACAACGAAATCACAATAGATAGGTGGAAAAATACAAATAAGGGCTACTCTTACAACAATCAAAGGAAAAAACAAGCAAGATACAAAAATGATTTACTTTTGAGAGGTAGATCGGCTCTCCCACAGCCTAGACGTCGCTAGAAACATCACCCAAAGAAGAAAGACAACAGCCACAAAATAATGCATGAAAAAAACCAAAACCTCTGATCCTCCCCTTAATAGAATTCCCTCATAACATTTGAAAACTTTCCTTACAGACTTTCCCTTCCAACTCTCTCAATTCCTCCTCATTGAGTATGTGATTAGGGTCCTCGTGAACCCCACCTCCTCCCCTCTCTCCTGTTGCGAAAGAGGCCGCTTGGCTTCTTCAATTGAAGAGGATCGGCCTACCTGTTGAAAGAGCAGGTCAGCTGGGTGGTTTCGATCAGTCCCCTTCTACCTGTTACGAGCATAACAATGCTCCCCTCCCAAAGACGTACCTTGTCCTCAATGTGGAAGGATAGAAATTGCTTATTTATCACCTCGTACGACTCTCATATTGTCTCATAATCTGGTAGTCATTTTCTCTTAACTAATAGCTCCTTTGCTCCACCTACTCCTCGACGTACGCCTTCGATCTCTATCGGCCCCATAATTACTTCCAAGTCCTCCTTCAGTGTCGATGGTTGTGTAGACGAGGGTGTATGATCTTCAATCGCATGTCACAATTGTGATGCATGGAAAACCGGGTGTAATGCGAACGATGGTGATAATTTCAAACGGTTAACTACTGCCCTGATGTGTGTCATCACATTGTAAGGTCGAAAGCATTGCAGTGACAGTTTCTCGCTTCTCCTGCTGGCCAAAGTCATCTGTCGGTAGGGCCTCAGTTTCAAGTAGATCGAGTAGATCATGTCTTCTGCTTCAAATTGCACATCTCTCCTGTATCTATTTGTCTTCCTCTTCATGATTTCTTGAGTTCTCAGTAAATGTTCGTTGAGCTCTGCCAGTATCATGTTTCTCTCCTCCAAGAACTGATCAACGATGGATAATGGTGTGGTACTATGCCCATAATGTATCAACGGAGGTGAATCGATCCTCCAAGAACTGATCAACGATGGATAATGGTGTGTTACTATGCCCATAATGTATCAACGGAGGTGAATCGCGTTCATACAATACCATGAGAGGGGTTGTTTGTGCTGCAATGTAGTACGAATTATTATACCAATATTTGATCCATGCAATCCACTTAGCAAATAGCTTCGGTGTATCAGATACAAAACAACGCAGATATATCTCCACACTCCTGTTGACCACCTCCGTCTGTCCATCGACCTAGGAATGATATGCGGTACTCTTTTAAGGATTGTCCCTTGCAACCTGAATAACTCCTTCCATAAGTGGTTGAGAAACACCTTGTCTCTATCCGATACAATTGATTTTGGCACCCCGTGCAAACGGACCACTTCCCACGTGAACACTGTCGCGACTGAAACCACATTATAGGGATGTCGTAAGGGAATGAAATGTGTGTACTTAAGCGATCCACAAACACCATAATCACTGTGAAGCCTTCTGACTGTGGCACTTCCTCAATAAAATCCCTGCTCGGTTCTTCTCAAACATTCTCCGGCAATGCTAATGGTTGTAATAACCCATTGGTATCGCGGTCAAGTACTTGTGTCGCTAGCACGCATCACATTTTGCTACCATGTCTTCCACGTCTCTGCGCATCCCCACCCAATAAGCTCTGCTTCCAAAAGACTGTAAGTGTTTTGCACCCCTTAATGTCTACCGATCATGCTATCGTGAAACTTTTAATGATATGGGAATATACTCTGATGACTTGTGTAGCACGAATCGCCCCTGATGAAGCGGCTGCCATCCCCCATAATTCAGCCCTTATTTTCCTCAGTTCCTCATATATTTCGCTCTTCTGTCTCAAGGCCTCCCAATCTAGGACCAAGGGTACCGATAGAGCCGTCAATCAGGGTCCCTCCACATTTCTCGATGGTGCGTCAACTGCCTTGCTCTCCAATCCTGGTCGATACTAAATATTGAAATCATACCCCAGTTACTTGGATAGCCCTCTCTAATGCTCCTCAATCACCATCTGTTGCTCCAGAAGATACTTTAAACTCTTCTGATCTGTCCTGAACAATAAATGCCATCTCAACAAGTAGAGCCACCACTTTTGAATAGTCAAGACAATTGTCATCAATTCTCGCTCATATACTAAATTTAGCCTCACTCTAGTTGTAAGGACCTCGCTGAAGTAAGCAATCAGAAATTGATCATGCATGAACGCTGCTCCCAATCCGTATCCTGAAGCATTTGCCTCCACCACGAATGGTTTATTGAAATCTGTAAATGCTAACACCTTCCTTTAATGTAATAGCGTGCTCGTGCTTCCTCTGAGGTTGTAACTCACTTGCCTGTTGGACAACATCAGTAAACTGCTGTAGGAGTTGTTGGACACCTTCCGGAAACTTTGTCAACTCTGAATCTCAAACCTCCTGAATGCTCTACAACTCCATCAAGTAACCCAGTCCTATTCCACGAATTGATTTGACCAAGGTTTTGAGCGATACCATGGTTTTGCATGAGCAAGCATCTACTCTCAGCACCACCTTTCTATTCTCCACTTGGAACTCCATCGTTAAGGACTTCCAATCCACCTTTATCTCTCTCAATATTCGCAATCATTTCATCCCCAAAATCACATCTATCCTGCCCAAATCTAAAGAAAGTCTTTCACCACCTGTAGGTCATGTAGTGTCAGAATCAACCCTTTGCAGAATCCTCGACTTTTCTCCACCTTCCGTCCCAATCATGACACCAAAGCTCCCTGCGGTCACTAGCTTCAACCCTAGGTTATCCACAACCTGATTTGAGATAAGTTATGGTGGCCCCACTATCCCTCAACACCACAAGCGGTTGTGCTCCGATCCATCCCCTCACCTTCATGATGTGATTCAGGATAAACTTCATCACCGAATTGAGAGGCACCTTCGCCACATCCAAATACAGATGCTCATTCGTTGCTTCCTCTTTTGATTCCTCACTCTTTGTATCCACCTCCTAAACTAAAAGAACCTGAAGGGCGCGCTCCTTGCAACAGTGTTTGGGGCGTATTTCTCGTCACAACAGTAAAACTATTTTTTGGATTTTTTATCCTGCAATTTTGCATCTGTGAGGAGCTTGAAATTACCCCCGGTCGGGATCATTTACTCTTCTCCTTCGGCATCGCTTTCTGAAAATGACACCGTCTGGGTTCTCGGTGTCGTAGCAGTCACGGTGCTCTTGTAGAATCCCCTGGTGTTGTCGCCTTTGTCGATCTTCTTCATATGTTTCTTAAGCTCTAACATCTGGGCAAGCTCCGTTTCGCTCAATCCACGATGTCTTAAGGGTCGGATGGTTGCTCTTATGTTGGCTTTAAGCCTTTCAAGAAGTTCCTTTTCAGTCAGAAATCCCCCTCAATATCCCCTCCTGAGTCAAAGCATAGAATTGCTCATGTAGGCCTGATAAGAGCTCAAAATTCTCTCGGTATTCCATATATATCCCCTCCTGAGTCAGACATAAAATTACTCGTGTAGGTCTCCTTCTCGAATGGCTCGAACATGCTTCAACATGCCTTAAACTCCTCCCATGAGTGTATCGGATACCTTGCCTCCATCCACTGGAACCACGCTAAAGCCCTCCCCTTCAAGCATAATCCCGCTGTCATGAGCTTCTCTTCCTCGGTCAACCGGTGATTGCAAAATACCGTTCCAGCTGATACACACATCCATATGCATCCTCTCATTCAAAGATCGGCATCTACAATTTTCTGGCCCTTGCATTTCTACCCCAACTTCCTCTCCCTTCAGAATTTCCCCCCATGTATCTAGGGTGAAACTCCCTCCTGCCGTCATAAGCATATCCCACTCCTGATTCTCTTCTTCCTCCATCGTACTCTTCCATGCCCCTTCCACCATCCCTTCTCCAATTTTGGGGCCCATCCTCCTCCTTCGACAGTCTCCATTGCCCCTCTTCTCGAAGTCCTAAGGGGATGCTCTTATAGATAGATGATGCATTCTTCGTTGTCTTCTCGCTCAATCTCCTTCCCCTTTTACCTGGCCAGGAAATCCTTGATCAAAGCTTGATTAGGGTTTGCAACTGGAACGATGGCACGGCCTTGGATTAAATCTCCATGAGCATTTTCAAAATCTCTTGCATTTCTCCTATGTCTTCAAATCCATCATTCATTCAACTTTCACTAAAAGAAAATTTGTCCTCCATGGTAGCAAACATTTCTTCCATTCCGGATTGAATTTGCTCCACCTCTCCTTCTAGCATATCAACTTTTTTTGTCGTCATCCCACCAAGATTTAGGCTCTGATATCAATTTGATATGCTTTGGCACCAAAATCACCGAACAAACCACAACGAAATCACAATAAATGGGTGGAAAAACACAAATAAGAGCTGCACTTACAACAATCAAAGGAAAAAACAAGCAAGATACAAATATGATCTACTTTCGAGAGGTAGATCTACTCTCTCACACCTTAGATGTCGCTAGGAACAGCACCAAAAGAAGAAAAACATAGCATCCAAAAAATAATTCACGTCCTCCACCCCTTAATAGAATCCCCTCATAATATTCGAAAACTTTCCTTACAAACTTTCCCTCCCAACTCTCTCAATTCCTCCTCCTTAAGTATGTGATTTGTGATTAGGGCCCTAGTGGACCACACCTGCTCCCCTCTCTCTTCTGCTGCAGCAAGAGGCTGCTCGGCCTCTTCAATTGACAAGGACCAGCTCACCTGTTGAGAGAGTTGGCCCTGCTGCTTGTTACGGACGTAACAGTGGAATTGCCTTGGATCCCTAATGTAAATGTCTAAAGTTCAAATTCTTCCCAAAATAATAATAATAATAACTACTTAATCTCAAGTGCAATGAATCTTCTAATCTATTTCATAGAAATCAAATAGAAAGCATACTTAATGTGATGTTAGAGCCATAAATACATGATCTATAAAAGATAATTCATGTCCTCTTCCCTAACCAAAGGCCTCAATCACAAAAATTCAAATCTAAACAGCAAATGGATGGTTCTTCAAGAGATTGAGCCTGCTGGATACACTTCCAAGATCAAATCACCAAAGGTAAAGCCTGAAAAAAAGATTCATGTTTCGACTTACCAAGCATTCAAGCCCCAACAGCACTGAAAAACTGAGCAGTTTCATTCATTTGTGCCAGATAGATCCGTTTATGAAGCCAATATATTAATAGTCATCCCCAAAAACAACCTTTTTCTCCCATATATATATGTATATACAAATCACCGACCAAAATCAAAAACATGGAGAACCCCAAGGCAGATAAAAAAAACGGCGCCCGCCAATGATTTCAACAGAGACTACAAAGTTAAAACGCAGAAAGAATAGTACCTTCAGTTGGGAGAGGAGATTGTTGCAAGTTACGAAATCGTTCCTCAACAAAGCAGCTTTGAATCGGGCAAAGATCTGTGTTACTTCAACCAGCTGCGGATCCATAGCTTCCGCTTGCCCCCCTTCTCTTCGTGCACGTATACCCTGATCAAGATCCCGAATCGCAGTTTCATTCACACCAAAACGCTAATGTCAAGGTAGGGAAAGCGTAGTTTGTAGTAAAGCTCCATAGATATGCAAGACAATGAACTGCTCTGTCTCGATGTTTTTCGCCCAATTCATGTGAAGAGGAAAGAGCTAATGTCTAGAATTGGGGTTGACTAGCAAATTCACATGCATATAACACAATTATTACATATTTACATTTATGACACTCATATCTCTAGCACCACAAAAAAATATCATTATAACTAATTTTATAGAAATGAAATGCACATTTTCATTAATGAGATTTCAATAACAAATGTTATAAAAGTAAATAACAAATTTTTGGTGTTAGATATATGAATATATAGTAAAGATGGGTATGTATGTAAATTTTTATAAATATTAATATGATTTAGATGATATAATAATCATCTAATAACCATATTTTCATTAATTTTACATATAATGTTTTAAATCATGATGTTTTGCCTTTGAATCTTTTGAGTATTATTCAAATTTAAATTTTAAAAGCATTAGATGTCAATTATTTTTTCTATTTGTTTAACATTTTTTTTTTTGTAGTCATTTGATTAAAATCAAAATGCAATTGCTTGATTAGTCATACAACTATATGATTCATCAAGTATTAGATTGGTTTACTAGTTTTGGTTTCCGCCATTGATTCCATCCAATTTTGATTTGTTTTATGTGAAAGTAGTTTTATAGTTGAACTTAATCGGAGAAATAAACGGTTCACATTTTAACTACTCAAGTTAGCTGATCTGTCGGGTTTTTTATAAATAGGGTCTTATTAATTATTAGATTCATTATATTGGAAAATGATTTAGCTTTTAGAGGATTTACATGTATATTGCATAATTCTTATATATTTACATATCTAGTATTTGAATTTTGATATTTACTTATATAATATTTTTGTGTCAGTCACATCAAATCATACGCAGCAAAAGAAGTATTTCACTTTAGAGAAATTAATATTAATAGTGTTCTCTTATTGGTTTTGGGACTGAGTATCACGCTATGACTCTTATTGTATAACTTTTATTATGTTCCTACCATTCAATAACAATTTCTTAGTTTTACACCCAAGTGTTATGCTCACATGCTCTCCATATAAAATTTCCTAAAGTTTATGAATAATAATGCTAAATGACGTAAATTTAATTTTTCATCCCTCTTTTTACTAGTTGTCATTATAGTTTATATGCATACAATGAACTAAATAAGGGAGGAGAGATCTCACCCATTGTAGTTGCGAAAAATTTATAGGCTCCAAAAGTTGTAATCTTGAATGTATTGACCCAATTAATTTTGATTCTGTCAAATCAACTACAGAGCATATATAAAGACAAACAACATGTTTGTTGACACTTCGAAAATAAATTCCTATGTAATAATTTAATTGCTTCTAGTTGTGCTTTGCAAATTCATTTCTCATCCAACGTATTTTACTTGTATTGCTTTGTTAATATATGAAATCCAAAAGAGTTATTTATCATTTATTATCTTTCTTTATACATCCAAAAGAGCAAAAAAAGAAAGAAATTTATGTAAAATGTGTGCTTTGATAAAAAATATTAGCATAAATAAAAATTAAAATGTACTTAGTT